AAATCACTCCCCAAATGGCTGTGACAGCCAACAGCCAAGTTACGTCAGAGGCCTGGAACTCCATAGAGATTTCCCATGTAGGTGCAGGGGTCCAAGTACTTGAGCTATATTTCACTGACCTCTAGACTCATTAGCAGAGAACTGCATGGGAAGTGGGGCCTCCAGGACTCAAACTGCTGCCAGATGGGATTCTGGGATTATGTGTGACAGCTTAACCCACTGCAATACAAGACCAACTCAATCCTCAGTTCTTTAGGTTTGAACTGTTATTATCAAAAAAAAGTATATTGAGCTCGATGTCATTTAAGAAATTGAATCTATTTTCCTAAAGGGTTTATTTATTTATCTACTTTAAATTTGGAGTAACAGAGTGAGTAATAGAGAGGTTATCCATCTGCTGATTTTCTTCCTCAAATTGCCACATAAAGAGTGAAGTTGGAGCTAGGGCAGCCAGGACTCTGACCTTCTCTTATATGGGATGCTTACATTGCAAACAGCAGCTTAGGCCATTGAACTACAACACCAGTCCAAAGGTATACTTTACTATGTCCATGGCTTCAATTTCCTACAAATAATTCAAAATCCTTTTGTTTGACCTAATTGAATATATTTGTATCATCTTGGAGATGGTTTCAAATACAAATAGAAGGCCAAAGTATGAAATATGATACATGACTCATATTATGAAATAATTTCACAGGAATATAAGCATGCTCAGTGTCTAACATCAGTATAGGGATGTGGTTATTTTCTATGCCTTTTGAAATGAGGTCAGTAGTAAAATGTAATGAGTCCCCAGTGATTCATGACCAGCTACAGTTTTCTTCATGTATTGATCACGGTTACCCCTCACAACTGTACATGGCAGGGATCATCAGCTTCATTCTATAGTAAAGAAACGTTAGGCACACGCTTGTTCAAGATCACACAGCTGTATGATCACAAAGCTGAGAACTGAATTCAGCCAAGTTCCTAAACCAAATTTTCCATGTTGCATTCTCATTTTCTGCATAGACGTTTGAGGCTGTCATTTCAAGCCCTGCTACCCCCAACCAAAAAAAATTGTTGAGGTTCCAAACTATAAAATAAACATGCAGTGAATGAGATCAAGGTTAGACGAGTGTCACAACAAAGCATAATACCAAAGCATTTAAACCATCATTTAAAATACTCTGAAGGATCAAATACACAGAGTTCAGATTCTTAATCAATTTAATTATACAGGATAGAATAAGTCTCCCTGTGTTGCTTTTAGAGCTGTTCCACAGGAAAACATACATATGCTGTAACTTGAAACACACATTTTTCTACTTCAGAGTTTTCTAAAATGTCTTAATGGTTTAATAAATGTGCTCCTTGATTCTGATAGAGTTGTATCCTGATAAATTTGGGAGTCATTCTATTATACCCAATGTATTGAATCTCATTGCTTAGCAATACAGAGTCATCTATGTTTCAAACCGCTGAACATGCTGTGGTTCACTTGGAACTGTGACCCACTGCCACAAGTCCAAGATGGTAATAAGGTATTTTAATGAACATAGCTATACTGAAAACAAAGAATCAAAAGTATAAGCACTTTTTGTAATAAAAACACATCACTTATGACCATTATAAAATTGAAATACAAATCACAAATCAAGCCTTGATAAGAAAGGAAATATCTGTATTTTCTCTATTAGGAAATTTTGGGGACAGTCTTATAGCTAATATCAAGTCATACAGCCACAGTTGCCTAAGTTAACTTTTACGAAAGTGGATCTCAAGTTTGTCCAAATATTTTTACTATATTCACACTAAAATATAAGCCTTTTGAATATAAGAACTTTTTCTTGTGGACTGTTCAACCTTTGTTAGCTGAAACCGCTCAACAGTGAACACTGGGTACATGCTCCTCAGATGGACCATGTGTCTGGTGCTGGAGGTGTTTCAGGTAAATAAGGCCTGACATAAGCTCTCTTTCCACTTAGAGGACATAGAAATCAGAATTAGTAATAACCGTGAGATAGTGTGACATGTAATAATAAATACAGAATTGATCACACACACAAAGGCCAATGTAATACACCAGTGGGATGATTAGAGTGAAATACATGATTAATCAACTTCACAAAGCACACACCTGAGTAGGTGCTGAAAAATTGAAGAATTCCTTGAACACAAGGAAGACAGAGGACACATGGTACTGGAAGAAGCATGAGGCAGAATAGTACATTCAGAGAAGTAGTTCACTCTTAGAATCAAATAAATTAGAAGCATGAACTGGTTGAGAAAATGGCATTACAAAGAAAACAGGTCAGTGTAATTCCAACAATTAATTGCAAAAGTTTATGGATGTTCCACTATGGAACGGAAGGCTTCAGCAGAGAAAGTAACATGAAGAGAGCTATGACATTGCCTAAATTGAACTGAACTCCATCTAGAAACAGGAATCAGACATCTTTTGCTGCTTTCCCAGGCACATTAGCAGGGAAGTAGATCAGAAGCAGACATCCACTATAAGATGCTTGTAGGAGGACATTGTGACCCTGGAAGGTCAGCGAGCACAGGTTTGCAGTTCATTGGACAGTATTGGCATGAGAACAACCAAATGGCTACCTTTGTATAAACAGCATGTAAATGAGAACACCTGGTGGAATATACAAAACAAAAGGAATTCCAATCAAGAGTAGGGAAACAATTGATGGGTTTTGTTCATGAGCTCAATACTTTTTTCCTTATCCCATATGGACTCTCCGTGTATAAACTCTGATTCCCCTAACAAACTTTGGCTTTTGACCATCAGTCAGGGTCCACGTGATATTATCGGTTCTGTGCACCAAGTCCATCACTGCGGGACAGCGACAATGCTGGTAACACAATTGGCTAAAGGCAGTTGGGCCTGTAGCCTGGCAAAATAAACATCTTGTAAAACATCAAAAAATTAAGAGAATTTATCAGCATGTAGCCAGCCTAACAAAAGAGTGTACTTCACAAAGAGTAGAAAGACAATCAGCAGAATGACATAATGTGATAGCAGAAAACTTAGTAGAAACAGAAAACAAGTATACAAAGCAAAATCCAGGGATTTTTATTTTAAAAATGGCAGGACCAACCCATTCCAGTTAACAACTTTGGGCATAATTAGGTTAAGTTCCCCAATGAAAAGCCACAGCCTACTTTTCATGGGAGAAAAAAAAATCTCTATGCTGCTTACAAGACACATATTTCACCAATAAACATAGTATGCATACAGCCTGAAAGGATGGGAAAATATTCAAGTAAGTGGAAATTAGAAATGATCCTGAGTAGCTACATTCATGTCAAACCAAACAGACTTTCAGACATCTGCTCTAAGTGATAAAGAAGATCATGATGTAACCAATAACAGATCAGTTCAATAAGAACACTTGACTACATGACAGGTATATGCATATGACGCTAGAATACACAGCATTAGAAGATAAATGTTGATGCGTCCAAAGGGAGAAGTAACGGGAGAACTTCAAAGCCCCATTTCAACAGTGATAGGTCAATCACCAAAACAACAAAACTTAATGAAGGAATAAAAGAGTGAATGTACACTCTAGACCAAAGAACAGACACAGTATACACGCTCTTTGTGAGCGCATGAAATATTCTCCAGAATAGACCATCTACTAAACGGTAAAATCATTCTCAACAAATTCAAAAAGCTGAAAAATTGTCACATATCATTTTTTAAGATTTTGTTTTATTGCAAAGTCAGATATATAGAGATAAGGAGAGACAGAGAGGGAGATGTGTCCGATGAGTCCCTCCCCTAGTGACTGCAAAGGCAGAACAGCAACAATAGAAGCCAGGAGCATGTAGCTTCCTCCAGGTCTCCCAAGCGGGTGAAGGGTCCCAGGTACTGGGCCCTCTTCAACTGCTTTCCCAGGCTACAAGCAGGGAGCTGGATGGGAAGCAGGGCTGCCTGGATTACAACTGGTGCCCAGATGGGATCCTGGCACGCTCAAGGCAAGGACTTTAGCCTCTAGGCACCATGCAGGGCCCTCCCATATCTTTTTAATCACAATGAAATGAAACTGGAAATTAACAGCAGAAGAAACTCTACCAAACAGAGTCTACATATGGAGAGCCAGCAGGACGCTCCTGCAAGAACAATGGGTCATAGCAGAAATCGGCAGGAAGATTTAAGAATTCCTTGATAAGGTCCAGCGCGATGGTGCACCAGTTAATGTCCTCGCCTTGCACGCCCGGGATCCCATATGGGTGCTGGTTTCTAATCACAGCAGGCCCGCTTCCCATGCAGCTCCTGCCTGTGGCCCAGGAAAGCAGTCAAGGACGGCCCAAAGCCTTGGGACCTTGCACCAGCGCAGGAGACCCAGAAGAGGCTCCTGGCTTCGGATCTGCATAGTATCGGCCTTTGCGCACTCTTGGGGAGTGAATCATCGGAGGGAAGATCTTCCTCTCTGTCTCTCCTCTCTGTATATCCACCTTTCCAATAAAAATAAAAAATAAACCTTTAAAAAACAAAAGAATTCCTTGAAATGAATGAAAATGAAAGCAATATATCCAAACATAGGATACAATGTTAGCAATGCTAACAAGAAAGCGTATAGCAATAAGTGCCAACAGTAGAAATTGAAAAAGTATCAGATAAAAAAACGGGAACAAGAAAAGCCCGGAGCTCTATGCTCCCTCGCTGCTTGGAGAGCGAGTGTCATGGCAGCCTGCATGGAGTTGGCAGCAGTGTGCCGCGGAAGTGGGCAAAGTCATTAAAGCCAGGGAAGGACTTGTGCCTGCTTGGGCGGTGGAACGTCCTGGGAAGGAGTGAAAGCAGCTGGCTGTGACGCCATCCCGAGGGCCTGGGCGTGTCTCGGGCAGGAGGTGGGCCCCTCATTGTGCTGTCACCTCCGGAGCTCCGAGTTCTGGGTTAGTCCCGCCAAGGTCGCGGTTGGAGAAGGTTCCGAGGGATGGTCGGGACGCACAGGATGGCGATTTGATGCTGAAAAACGGCTTCTCCAAAACCCGTAGCCATGTCTTCCTGGCTAGGGAGCATCGGCTCTGGTCTAGGCCATTCTTTGGGCCAAGTGGGAGGCAGTTTGGTCTCTCTCACCGGCCATATTTCTAATTTCACCAAGGACAGGTTCCTGAAAGGAGGAGAGGAAGTAGTAGAATTACCAACTTCTGGAAGAGGTGAAATTGAACTCCTTCATTTGTTCTACAAATCAGAAAATGAAAGGCTCCAAAACCTATGTACTGATCTTGAAGAGAAACATGAATTATTACAGCAGCAAATGAAACAACAGTCAACAAGTTACACAGACCAGCTTCAGCACAAAGACAGGGAGATTAGCTACCTTAAAGAAAGACAGGCGGAGCTGCAGCACCAGCTACTGAAGCTGCAGTCAGGCCTCTCAGCACCCCGCTGCATTGCTGTCACCTATACCACATCGTCCACACTCAGCTACGGGGGCAGTCAGCCCACACCAGCATTCAATGAGGAGGACATGGAGACTATTGACTTAAATTGCTCAGACGAAGAAATTAACTGGCAGCCCAGGGAAGTGTCAGGGCCTGATTCTGAGCTTAGCCACTGGATAAACATAGCCGAGAGACCTCAGGCCGAAGGACCACATCATTCTGATCAAAATGAAGTCGGTAACCTTCAGAAGATAATCAAAGATCTTAAACAAAATCAAAAACAGCAACTTGATAACTGCCAATATGAAATAGCAGCGTTGCAAGATGCATATCAGCTGAAACTGACGGAGGTAACTCGTCAACACCGAGAACGGATTGAGGAGCTTGAACAATTACTGGAGCAAGGTGGTTCAGGAGCCTACCAGGAGCCTAAACTCTCTGAGATGCAAAAGGCCATCGAAATGTTACAGAGAGAAAAAACTGAATGCTCCCAAAAAATCAACGAACTGGAAGATAAACTCAAAGACACCACTCAAAGATTAACTTGTGCCGAACATGAAAAAGAGATTTTGCAGAGAGAACACAAACAGCTGAATGTGGGAAATGGACAAATGGTGCCTGAATATGAGACGTTACGAGTGGAATGTGAGAGGCTGGCATATTGTGCTGATCAACCTGTGGAGCCTGCTGCGGGCGAAGAAACCATGCAGAGTGCTGTGGAGGAGGAAGTGCTCAGGCTCCAGCAGGCACTGGCTGACAGTGAAAGTAAAAACAAAACACTGAGTCAGCAGGTAATGTTAATGAAAAATGAGCTATCAAACCAAGGCGATGTTATCCATAAACTAAAAGAAGATCTAGAGCATGCAATAAAGCAAGTTCATCAGCTGGAGAAAGACAAAGCAAACATTTCTGAAGAATTGGAGGAGGCGAGAAACAATGTAATTCAGAAAGAATGTGAGCTGCATGCTTTGGGTTTAGCGAAGCAGGAGCATGAAGATAAATTACAAGATTTAGTTGATCAGCTAAATGAAGCAAAAGAAGAGAGGGAAGGCATCCAGAAAAACAATGTTCACCTGAAAAGATGCATTCAGCAAAATGAGGAGGAGCACAACAGAATTAGACAAGAATTAATTATTAATCAAAACCTTAGTAATAATTGCAACAATTTACTGAAAGAAAAGGAAATCCAAGTAAGAAACTTAGAGCAGCAGCTTTCAGAAGCTGAAAAGCGTGATGAAAATTTACAGAAAATTGCCTTTGATCTCAGGATAGAAAATGAGAAGTTGATTTTGGCATGTGAACAGGTGGAACAGAAATTAGAAGAGTCTGTTGCTCTAAACCGTCAGGTTTCTTTAGAAAAAGACACGATTCTGGAGACCCTGAGAAGGGAAAAGCACCAGCTAGAAGCTGACTTAGGTGGCGCTGAGAAGAGGCTGTTGGAGGAGGCCAACAAGCACAAGCAGAGCCTGGAGGAGCTGTCCAGCACACACCAGTTGGATTGTGCTGCCCTTAAGCAGGAACAGGATCGTTTACTGGAGCTGCATCAGCAGAAGGACCTGGAAATAGCGGTTCTGAGAAAGAGCATTGAGCAAATAGACATATGTCATAAACATACCGAGGAGCTTTTGTCCTCTAGTTTAGAAAAGCAGGACCAGTTGACACAAGTGCTAAATGAGAAGGAAACTTGCATTGAAAATCTTCAAGAAAAAAGTTCAGAGCTGCAGGCGGAATTGGACAGATGTATTGAGACTTCTAAAAAGAATGAAATCTTACAACAGACGGTAGAGGAAAAGGATAGAAGCCTGGGCTGCATGAAACAAGAGAAGAATCATCTCCAGGAGGAGCTGGAGCGGCTCAGGGAGCAGCAGAGTCAGGCTGTGCACGGGGCCAAGCCCGGATTCCCCGACTGTGTGTCCGAACTAGAGTCAGAGGTGACCCAGCTGACCATTGTCAAGAAACATCTGGAAGAAGAAATTAAAGAACACCTAAAGATCATTGAAGATCAGAAAAGGAGTAAGAGGCAGCTGCTGAAGGCGATGGAGGAGAATAAGCACCAGTATGAGCAAGTGAATGAAGTGCAAAGGCGGCTGATCTTAGAGAAAGAGGAGGAGATTAAGAACCTGCAGAACACAATTGAAAGGATCAAAACCCAGCTGCCCGAGGAAGGACGGCATACCCCCATCATTCGCCTTGAAAACAAAAGTGAAAACCATGAACTAGCTAAAGCAGAAATAGAAGAGTTAGTAAAAGGAATACAAGAGCGAGATTTGGAGATTAAGCTTCTAAATGAAAAGAATCTATCTTTAACTAAACAAATTGACCAACTATCTACACATGAAGTAGGGAAGCTAACTGAAATGATTCAGCAGAAGGATTTGGAAATCCAAGCTCTGCATGTTAAAATGTCTTCACCGTCCTACTCCCAGGACATCCTTGAACTTCAGCAGCAGCTGCAAGACTATGCTAGGGAGAAAGAGCAGATATTAGCTGTTTTCAGTGCCAAAACAAGGGAAAACAGCCATCTCAAATCAGAGTACCACAAAATGATAGACATAGTGTTTGCCAAAGAGGCAGCCCTAGTTAAACTCCAAGACGAAAATAAACAAATGTCCTCCAGGTTTGAGAACACAACCCAAGAAATACTTAGAGAAAAGGTTCAGAATCTATCACGGATCATAAGAGAAAAGGACATTGAGGTAGACGCATTACGGCAAAAATGCGAGACCTTATTGGCTATCCTGCAAACCTCTGGCACCGGGAATGAGGCCGGGGGCCTTAACAGTGATGCAGTTGAGAAGCTGTTGCAGGAACATGACAGGTTAAAACTAGAGGCAGAAGACCTAAGAAGATCCCTGGAAGAAAGAGACGTCAGCATCAGAGCTCTGCAGCAGGATAACCAACAGCTGTCTGACTCCATCGCTGCTGCTGCAGAGCTAAAAAAGAAAGAGCACCAGCAGCACAATTCGGAGCTCAGGCAGCTGAAGCAAACATGTGATGTGCTGCAAATCTTCCTCAAGGAGAAAGAGCTCCTGCTCAAGAACCAAAACGAGCAGCTGCTTTCCTCAAAGGAAACTTTGACCAACAAAGTGAATGAAAATGAAATTTTAAGACAATCAGAAACAGACTTGAAGGAAAGAATACTCATTTTGGAGATGGAAATTTCAAAGTTAAAGGATGAAAACAACAGAAGAGTAGAAGAGATGAGGGAGAAGGAAAATGCATATCAAGCATTACAAGAGAGGAACACACACGAAGTTTGGGCTGCTGCACATAGAGAGGCCAAACTTAGAGAAAATGTCATGGTTTTAGAACAAAAACTAGATTCTTCCTTGGATGCGATGGAAACTGCCAGCCATCAAGCCAGCGCGCAAATAGAATCCTTGCAGGCGAAGTTGAACATAGTCTCCAAGCAGAGGGACGAGGCTGCCCAACAGCTCTCTCAGGCTCAGGACCAGGAGAAGCAGTACACTGTGTCCCTGGGCAACCTGCAGATGGTGCGTGAGCACGTCCAGCATAAGGAAAAAGTTATGGATGCTGCTGAAGTGGAAAAACAAGAGCAGCTTGTACACAAATGGAAAGAAAAGGCTCAAGACCTGCCAGTGAAAGCAAATGGCTTACAAGAACATTTGGACAAAGCAAACGCCGTACTGGATTCCACATCAAGACTAATGGAACAGTTGGAACACAAAGAAAGAAAAATCCAGGAGCTTAAAAATCAAAATGAGCTTCAACAAGAAATGTTGGAGGATGTACAAAAGAAATGGATACATTTGGTACATGGCATGGAGGGCAAAATAGACATAGTATTAGTGAGAAACCTTTTTATTAGGCAATTCCACACTCCGAAAAGTCAGCGGCCTGAAGTGCTGCGTTTGATGGGCAGTATTCTGGGCCTGAAGAGAGAAGAGATGGATCAGTTGTTTAAAGAAGACCAAGGTTATGTTACAAGATGGGTGAGCGGATGGCTTGCAGGAGGAGCCCAAAGTGACCCCAACAAACCTCTCAGACCCAACGAGCAGTCTGTGCCCAACAACTCATTTGCGGAACTTTTTGTAAATTTTTTGCAAAATGAGACACACCCATCCATTCCACCACCAAATCTTTGCACAAGTGAGATGAAACCTCTACATTCTACGGGAACAAGAGCAAGCACAGGTGTGCCAGAAACTTTTCAAGATTCAACCAGTTCCAGTTCTGGTAGAAAAACGGGTGTGGATTCATTTTCGGCCACCCGCTCTGAGGCTGTGCCCCTTATTAGCCCAGCTGGACTTGGCCAGGGCCGACCTGGGAGCCTTCTGCTGGAGCCCATTAAGAACTTCGTACCCACATTTACATCACTGCCAGTGCCGCCTAACAACAGCACTGCAGTTGGGATACAAGATCTTTCAAAGAAGTAGAGATCTCTGCCAACAGGGAAACGAAAACCTTCATAGAACTTTTGTTTTGTTTTCCTTTGTTCTTTTTTGGTTTTGTTTTTCTTTTTTGTTCGTTCTTTTTTCCTTATCTTGTTCTTTGTTTTTGGGGGGTTATTTTTCCTTTTTGGTTTTGTTTTTTTGTTCTTTTGGTGTTTTTTTTCCTTTTGTTTTAGTTTTTTTGTTTTTGTTTTCATTTTTTCCCTTTTTGTTCTTGTTTTAGGTTGTTTTCCTTATTTTTTTGTTTACATTTTTGTTTGTTTTTTTAGTTTTTTGTTCTTTTCGGTTGTTGTATTTTCCTTTTTTGTTTTAGGTTTTGCTTTTTTGTTTTTCTTTCTTTTTGTTAATTTTATTTCTTATTCTGTTTTGGTTTAGGTTTGCTACTTTTGTTTGCTTTTTAGTTCTTTTTTGTTTTTAAATTTTTTTCTTATTTTTTCTAGTTTTTTTGTTTGTTTTTTACTTTTTTCCTTTTTGGTCTTTAGATTTTTTTCTGTTTTGTTTTTGGTTTTTCTTTTTTGTTTTTTAATATGTTTTTATGTTCTTTTGCTTTTTAGATGTTTCTTATTTTTTTGTTTTAGATTTATCTGTTTTTTTAGTTTTTTGTTTTTCTTTTTTGTTTTTTACTTTTTTTCTTAAATTTTCTCCCGTTTCATTTGTTTTTTGTTTCGCAGTTTTTTGTTTTTTTTTTTGCTTGTCCTTTTTTCTTTTTTGTTCTTTATTGTTTTGGGGAATTTGTATTTTTCATTTTGTTTTTGTAATTTTTTGGTTTCTTTTTTTTTGCTTTGTTTTGTTTTTTCTTTTCCGTTTGTTCCTTTTTTGCTTTTTTCTTTTTTTACATCATAGCACTGTCAAGAAGGTTTGTTAACCCTATGCGAGGTCCCATGTCACCAAGTACACTACAAGACGTTCATGTATTCACCATTTACAACGTAGCACTGTTAAGGTTTGTTAACACTATGCGAGGTCCCCTGACACCAAAGTGCCCTGCAAGATGTTCGTGTATTCACCATTTACAACGTAGCACTGTTAAGAAGGTTTGTTAATGCTGTGCGAGGTCCATGTCACGAAGTGCCCTACAAGACATTCATGTATTGTCCATTGTCAATCTCCATGTATAATAAAAACGTCCTAAATGCTTTCCACAGTTGCCGTCATTCCTGATTTGATCTAATTTAAGCTAGAAATATTTACGTTTTATGTTAATTTACAAACATTGTATAAGGTCAAAAAGCTGGTAGCTGTGTATCTGTGTATCAGCTTTTTATTTCCTGTCTCTCAAGCTTGTTGAAACATGAGAAATGTGATGACCTGTTGCAGGTCAGAGAGACATTAATAGCAGCGATGGCACCCATGCACAGTGTGGGCACAGAGTGGAGGCACTGTGTGTGACAGGCTTATAGCTCGGGTGTCCCGGGAGGCTCTGGTGCCCGAGAAGGAGTGTACACTTGGTTCTGAGCATTCAGAAAGACCAACACCAGCTCCAGCAGCGAATGTGCCCATTGCAGCCTCCCTGTGCTGGCTCTTGGTGATCAGCACAAGTCCTCAGCTTGGTCCCTGCTGAGCCCCTGACAGCCACTAAGTCTTCTCAGCAGGTTTCACCCAGCAAGTTGCCCTGGTGTGGCTGTACCACTTCATGTGAATGACTCTGGTGTCTGTCCAAAGCCACATGTCTCCTGACACAGCCAGGCAGAGCTTTCAGCCCAGCATTGGGCTGTGCAGCCACACCCGTGCACCTGCAGTGAGCAGTGGCACTAGAAGCCCATGGAGCTGCTCTCTGCCTCTGCCTCAGATGCTGCTACCAAGGGAGGGAGAGGACCCAGGGGAGTTCCTCCTCAACAGGGGCTTCCTGAGGATGACCCATCACCGCGCCAGGTGTTCAGAACTTAAAGAGTAAGAATATACTTCTTAAATTTTGCATGAGCCAGATATAAAAAAAAATCCTGACTTGAAGCTTAGCTGTATCAAGATGCTCCTATTTGTGTTGGTTGTTGAGGCTGTGCATTGAAAAAGACACTTCTTGCATATCTTGTGAATTTCAGTATGCCTTTCAAACAGCAACATTTTGTGAGCAAGGAAAGGTGAAAACAAGACTAAATGTGCAAACAGCCCAGCTGCGACCGACTCAGTGTGGCTGGCTGTACACTTTGCCGTGGCTAACGGGATATTTCTCATGTATTGACATTGGCTAAAACCTCTGTCAGCCATCCCTGCATCCCTTGTGTGGAAGCTGGCATGCAGATCCTGGGACAGAACTGTTGAGCTGCCCCTTGGCTCACATGGGGTGATATGCTTTGAAACCCACCAGGTGGAAGGCACCGTGGATCACCGCGGCAGGTGACACACCGAGCCTCCTGGATGTTCCAGCCCCACAGCATGGTGCACTGCGGGGAATGGCACTGCCTGGTCATGTTCCAGCCCCACAGCACGTTGCACCGCGAGAGAACGTGGGGCCGCAGACCACCAGCCTCGGGCAGGAGCCACATTTAGACTGAATCATGTGGCTGTCACAGTATGGAAGTTGAAGATTCAGAAGTGAAACCTTTGTGGGGTAGGGATCGAGTGTCACTCTCTGAGTTCTATATGCTCCTTACAAGGTGCCCCGCTGACTTTCCTGAATTATTTGCTGCTTATCAGGATTAGAACCTGTGGCCATATGGGATCCTGTCGTGTGAAAGGAGAGGACGTTAGCCACTAGGCTACTGTGCAGGGCCCTAACAGGCCCTAACTGTGCTTCTAACAGGCATTTTTAATGTCAAGTCAAAGCAAATGAATCAGGTAAGATGAGAAAGAATCTCTAAGTTTACTAGAAAGTTTTAGAAAAGTGTCATCAAGTAAACAGAAGCTATGCAATGGAGAGAGTACAGTGTTTGGCATTGCAGCACAGTAACAAAACCCAACCCTGATGCTGGCTTCCGATTTGATGCTTGTTCCTTACTTTGTGTCTTCATTTGCTGTAAATCTTCCTGGTGATAGCCTGGCAAAACCAGTGGAGGATGTCAGTAGGAGGTATGTGTAGTTCCATCTCTTTTCCTGCCAGTCTTACTTTCAAAGCCAATTATAATTACTCCTGAAATAGTACAAAGTATACTTGAAAAATGAAAGACTTTTCTAAAAAGGCATTTTAAAATTAAAGCCAAAATATCCTTCAAATTTTTAGCAAAAGATCAATACTTTAAGCAAACCGTTAAGCTAGCTGGGGGAATCAAATTCTATGTTTATACCAGTGAGCCTTCAATAATAATATTCACATTTTAGACAATGGTGTAATTTCCTTTGAAATTATTTTGAAATTTCCATTGTGTCTGAACAGCCTATTTTCACATAAGTTTCAGTTTCCGTTAGCCTTTTACAACATTCCAATATTCTTTTAATTATATTCCCAAATCATTTCCCTGATGCTTCATGAAATACATTAAAGGAGGAAGATTTTAATTCTGAGTTCCTCCTTCTCTGTTTTATGCTTTAACATTGTGACATCTCGGTCCTGTGTATCAGAATCTACACAGGGACTGGATGGTGGGAAATGAGTATATATACTGCATGTTAGAAAATCACTGACTTCAATTGTAGTTGTTTCTCCATCTGAAACCCTATGGTCCAATCTTCAAGTTCTGATTCCCAACAACCTTGTGTTTGTTTCCTCAAAAGCCCTCTCAACGTCATCTTCTTGTAAATCTCTTTTACATTTCTTGATGTATGCGTTTGGAATTACTGACATCTTCAAGAAATAGAAATGGGAGAATGGCAACTGCACAGACAACAAATCATATTTTGCGTTGTCTTAACAGAGAGAATTGTGAGTATATTTTCTCATCCAAAGAGTAATTCTCAACCATGACCATCAGAACATGAATCTGCATGATTAAGTCATCTTGGGTATTTAGATGGCAAGGGTAGAAGGGTTGGGTGTGTAGAGAACTATCTTGTACGAAGAATTCCAGACACTTCCGAGAGGAGTTCAAGACAGATGTGGAGTAGAATGCAGATCACATCCCTGATATTATACAGAAACATGGTTTATTAGGTCTTACCAGAATTCATTTATTCTTTCCAGTTCTTGCGTCTTTCTTAAAGAAAAAGAAAGCTGCATGCTTTTACCATTGGATTGACATGAATTTCCTTCCAAGGCTACCTAGGATTTAATCAGGTGTGCTTTTCTCAGACAAGAAGATTTTGAAGTAGATATTGGCATTTGCTTCTCTTTTACGGATGAACAAACTGAGACAAAGTGAATTCATCTCAAGTCTCACAGCCAGCATGCAGCCAACCTGCCCTCTGCAACTTCAGATCACAGCTCTCATCACTGCAGTGCACATCCCTACATCCTAAATTAGGGCCACCAGCTCTCCTGTTGTACTCTTTTCCAAAGTTGAACTGAAAGAAACTAACCTATATCCCCTAAAGCTGCTGCACAACAGCCGTGGGAGTGTGGCTCCTGCATGGAAGGCCAGCAGACCTTCTCTCATTTTGATCATTACTAGTTCTTCTGGGTCACATCTCATCATATATACATCTCGTTTGCCATTCTTAGCTAGGTGTACCATGTCCTTATAACCTTTACGGAACTGATAAAATAGGAGATTGGTAAAAAAAAAAACCCTGGGAAAAATCAAAAAGCATATGCCAGGGAGTTAGGATGGGTCTGTGAGCAGTAACATAGCATGAAATATCAATAAACACACATTTTTTATTGTACCTTGAGTATGTGGAATTTCCTATGGAATCAGATATCACCCTAATTTCAGTAGTTGTAGTTTTGTGTATGGGAAACCTAAGAAACAAGGTATGAAGTAAATAATACTTATCCAGAAATGCTGACTCACTCATGGAACAAGATTTCTTCATCTCAAGGAATTCCTTTCAGGTCCTCATAGATAACATATCCTCGAGGGGAGGTTTGATTGCTGGCTTTTTTTCTCCTTTTATTCTATGCAGCAGAAAAGGCCAATTACTACCAGATCGTCTGTTTTGAAAAGAGTCATGAA